AGATCAACCAAAATCTAAATGCCTGCAAGGCTTTAAATATACAAACCCTTTTATCGATGTCATTGTGTTGCAATTGAACGAATCTGGCGCTGATGGCTGCAATATAGCTCTGTTGATTGGAGAATGCTACACGGCCAGCTCCTTTAGGATATTTTAGCTCTGGGTCCGTATCAATTCCAGCGTAGCAGACACCACCATAAAGTCGATCCATGATCAAAGCAAGCTCCACTGTAGAATGATAGAAATAAACAGTAAATATCAAGTAGCTTCACTTTGATCAATGTATAATGCAATAAAAGAATTAGCGATGAAATCCATTACCCACTAGAAAATAAAGTTAATTTGAAAGCTAAAGATAGAGTTAGTGTGTTCGATTGGGGAACTCGTTCAGGAGGTAAAGCGGTCTTGCAAAAATAAACCTGGCTTATTTTCTGTCATACTAGTCATATAGTTTCCAGCAATTAAGAGGTAACTCGGTAGACTCCACGATGCTATGCTGACAGCGTAGCCGGTAGCTTTAGCAAATAAAGTGACAAGTGAAGAGAATTAATTATCTTGATCCATTTAGGTTCAATAATAATGGGACAACTCCCTAGTTCTAGCTACGAGCGCCGCATCCTTGTAATTCAATCCCATTTCGTCTGACCAATTTTCCAACCTAATCCTATCCGTATCTTCATTCATTCAAATATTTTCTAAATTATTTGGTTCTTCAAGTGGGCTTAATGAAGTGTAAATAACTTCAAAGCTGATTCCATAAACTGTATAAAGGGATTCCTGATCTCAAAATGATACTTAATTCAACAAGTCTCTTCACCAAATTTGTACAAGCTGTTGCAATCTATCCTATCTGACTGGTTAGAATTACTCGATTCAGGTCAAAGTTTATTTGCCTGACTTGATGAAAGGTGTGTTAGCCGCCAAGAAAGAAGACTAAAAAACGCGACCCTTACTCCGACCCCCTTTATAAGGCCCGATAGAAATATTGTCAGGCAATTGCCTGATTAATGCCAAAAAAAGAAGATAATCATAAGCCAGTCATGAAACTTGACTTTTTGGGTCGTTGTAAACGTTATTACATCCCTCGAGGATTATGCAACTTAATGAAGAAGTAACATTATATATAGCAAGGTTAATAATATATTACATCAGTAGTCTTTGCATAAATTAAAGAAGGCAGATGATATGGAGAGAAACAGTGTTTAGATGTTAAGTCTAGATTCTATAATGAGCTAGGCAAAAGTGTCACTACATAAGATTTTTGCATGATGGGCTATAAATTTCGAAAAGGATCTAGGATAAGATTAGCTATGAACAGCCTATTGTCAAGCCACTCTGAACGGAAAATTTTACAAGGAAGTATCTCACGGATAAAGTAATAAAACAAAATATTAAATTTATCGAGGTTGTTTGAACTTGTTTTCGCAACTTGGACATATTGGTAGGAAGACTTAGAGGAACGCACCTAGTCCGGAGTCCATTGTATGCATGATAATTTCCAAAGTCGGAGCGTGGACGTGGTACATTCCTAGACGTTTCGCCGGTATCGTAGTTGGCATCGACAGTGAGTCTCGACATTGTTAACATCACACTACAACTCGTCAAAGAGAAAAATGGAGCCGAACGTGTGTCCTCAGCTATTCACATTTCCTATATCCTCGTATCACACCTTCACTGTTACAATTTTTGTTTAAAGTGCTTATATAGATGTAGTGTGGTGTGCTATTTTGAGCGGCATTCATGAAAACCCTCCACACTCCACTCTGGCGTTCTCATCCTCCTTCACCCTTGTGCTTGGAATGTTGATCAGTCTGCCATATTGTTAGGCAGTCCTCCTTCCATAGGTCTTATCACAGTCTCCCTCTTGCCCCGTAAGGTCCGTCTGCTATCACCCTCGTTCACGTATTTCACTCGACCCCTGCCACCACATCTGCTCTACTTGAGACGTTATTACCCCTCCTCTGCGTCTAGGTGACTAATTCGAGGCCAAAGCTTCAGAGTAAGTCTCATAGTCACGCCAATGCTACATGGATCACGTCTCTGGTAAAACCTACTGTCAGCCAACTAGCGCCAGTCTCCTTCACCTATATCCTGTTTCTATCCCTAATACGAAATCCATGACTTGCTATGTCCTAGTCTCTTGTATTTCAACCCTAAATGTCGTGGTACTGCTTGCTTTAATTAGGTTCAATGTTAAGCCACAAAGTTTGTGGTTTGGCACACAACCACGCCCACGGTCAAACTTTGGAAATGATCATATATACAATGGATTCTGGACTAGGTGGGTTCCCTAAGTCATCCTACCAATATGTCCAAGTCACGAAAACAAGGTCAAATAACCTTTATACAACGAAAGGAGACAGCGACTACACAAAAGGCCGCACCATCTTGGTCTTCATACCTTCGTATTAAATTTATCTCTTATTCCTCTCGATTCATCAACAAAGGTCATCCTTAA